AGAAATATTAGAAATTGCATTTATCGGGGCTCACTACATTTATAAAATAATCCAAATTTCAAACTAAATGCAACCTTGGATATCATATATATATATATATATATATATACAGTGTTTGTGTGTGTGTGTGTATGTATAATTTTGCAAGTGCGAACCTGCAACCTCACGGCCAAAAGTATTCTGCCTTAACCAGCTACATTAACTGGATGTTTGGCTTTGCTTGATTTTGAAAGGGTAATTTATATTTTCATGTTCATATATATTATGAAAGCCTGGTCGAGCGCTGATGGGTTGGCGATGGGGATAAGTGTCCCGTCAACAAGGCCAATTACTCACGGGACACCCGCAATGGCATGGAAGCCTTGATGTGTCTCCATCACTTCGTGCCTGGCCAAAGGCCTACGTAGGCTATGTAATCGGTGGCGTGACGGAGCAAGATGTAGTGAACACACCACCACACCGAGGTCTTGCTCAGCCCATATCCATCCCCAATCACCTCCAGAAAACTCCCCACAGCATAAAAACGGAAAGCCGCCATCAGCTGAATTTCGGGGCTTAGGGGGTAGCTCCGTCAAGTTTGTCTCTACAAAGTTTGATGTAAAAGCTGCTGAATTTGCTCCCGTGGCAGGCAAAATGTTTGTAGAATTGTATCTTTTGACATGGTAGCTATTCTGACACTATTATGAAATAGTGCACATACACTAACCGTCTTTGATTTAAGATAACTATTCACTGCCTTGCTTCCATAGTTTGACCAAACTCCCCATCACATTCATTCCCTTTAAATTAGACTCCTAATTATGTGCCGCCTAATTGTTTGACAGCCGATGTGCCTTTGTATATTATAATGGAAAAACTAACAACCATCAGTATAATGACAGTTTTATTCTTTGCATAAAAACACTTCAATTAATTGAATACTAATTGAACACTGGGTGTATTACAACTTTAGAATTGTAATATTTATTTGGTTCTGCACTTTTTCTTGCCACAGAATTACAATCGTATCGACTGAAATGTGAAGAAGGTTTTTGCACATTGGTGGCCACTAGCGGAGTGAACTGTGAACAGCGATAAGGTAAAGCTAAGAGTGGTCCAGACTAACCTTACGAACGAATGACTTACGGAAGGTATACTTAACTAAGAACGTTTCGGGTAACACGTATTAACGTAAAGGTACAACTTAAGGTATAACTTACGAATGATGTAGCGTTAAGAAGGTTTCGGGAAACGCAGCCCTGGTCTTTATTCTCGGCTCCATAGTGGAATAGCAGGAGTCTTTGCTACTAATTAAGTGTGGTGGAGATGAAAGTCTTTGAGCTGATGGGACTGTCTGCTCGAACTGTGGATACATTTTATGCTTTGCTCATTTTGGGATTGTTTCATTGAAATCTGTGGAGACGAGGGGTAAATCAGTATCATAGATTTATCCCACACTGATTTGTTTTTGTTATACAAAAAGTTTAGTCAATATTTGTTCATGCAATAGATATTAATTCAAAGTGAAATTACATAATTTTAGTCAACTAAAGTAAGTTGACAGTTTTAAGAGCCTGTTTAACACACTTTTTTTGTCTTATTGTTTTGTGATTTATTTGAACACATTCTGAATCTATTGTGTGTACTTGTTTGTATTAATATCTTTTTTTTGTACGTTTTAATTGGAGTCATTTAAACAACATCATGATGTGTCCTTTTTTGCATTACAAAAACCAAAAACCCTTTGTCAACAAATATTTTTTTGTCTTACAATAAATGTCCTTTACATTTAATTTTTTTAATTACATTTAATCCTATTTTTAAAATATTTCCTTTTTGTCATGTGCATACACTTAAAAAGAAATGGTGTATAATTCATGCCAACAAATAATACCTTAGTCAATGAAAAGATGTCAAACTGTCAAAAAGACCAAACTTTGACCAGATTTTCATTTTTGAAAATAGTATTAAAAATGTAACATAAACAAGATACAACATGAGTCTGAAGTAATAGCATATATTATTTAGTAAATATTGAGTAAACTTTTTAGAAGTTACAGCTTTAGAGAATGTTATTAACTTTCTGTTTTAAAGCATGTTTAATGCTCGTTATTTGTATTTATTATTGTACAATTGAATTCTGAAGCAGTTCTATCTACATTTTTGTACTGTTAATGTCTTTTTCTCTTGGTATTTTTATCAACAGTATCTTTTAGTTGGAATAAATAAAATTTTAAATAGCATGTGCCTCTTTCCATTTCGTGAAATCCAGAACCCTTTTTCAACAAAGATTTTCATCAATAATTTCGTTGACGAGATTTACTCTGCCACAGTAAAGCACATTTTCTATTTTAATGTAAAGCTTGGGATGCAGTCACACATCAAGCATTTGCACAGAGCTCTATCACACAGCACATTTTACACGTATTTCCCCTAGAGCTGCCTTGTGGAATCAAGCTTGTTTTAAGTAATTAGGCTCTTGCATATATGACGACAGCAGCCAACAGTGTGTCATCTGCTGAATTAGTGTTTCAACTCAGTGATTGTGAAATTCCAATGATTTTAAAAACAGTTGCAGCATCCATCTGCAATTCATCTCTCTGCAGGTTAATGAAGTAAATTGGGGAAACTATTGTTCTGCCATGAGAGACAGTGTGTGTTTGTGTGGTTCGGTTTCTGCATACGTGCGTGTGCGCATGCATACACGCTTAAAAATAAAGGTGCTTCAAAAGGTTCTTCACAGCGATGCCATAGAAGAACCTTTTTTGGTTCCAAAAATAACCATTCAGTCAAAAGTTCTTTAAAGAACCATCTCTTTCTTAACTTTTTATAATCTGGAGAACCTTCTTTCATCACAAAGAACATTTTGTGAAACAGAAAGGTTCTTCAGATGTTAAAGGTTCTTTATGGAACCATTTAGACAAAAAGGTTCTTCTATGGCATCGTGAAGCACCTTTATTTTTAAGAGTGTACGTGTGCGCTGTAGTCACAAGCTTGTGTGTATGTATGCCTCTAGTGCACTTGTTAGCTCTACACTGTGTTTGGATTGTCTTGCTTCCCTCTGTGCATGCAGATGTGGGCATTTGCACGCACATCAGTGCTTGAGAATGGCAGTCCAGCAGCCCCTAGAGCACCATGCATGCTCTCAAAGAGCCAAGTGTTAATCCTTTTGAACGTGTTGTGTCTTTACACATGGAGGGAATTAGTACTCGTATCTGTGGGCTAAACCGTAAAGTACTCTTCAAATCTCAAGCACTGTAATTACTGTTGTCTACATGTTATAAGCAGCCATCATACAGCTGTTCAGAGATTCAGTTCTGTGTTTGGAATTATGTAGCTGTGCTGATGTTCAAACTGTAGAGAGAATGGCACTAGCAATGGCGAGGTCATAGGTTCAATTCCCATGGAATGCATGAAATGCTTAAAAAATAACTTTGCAGTTAACTTTTTAAAATTCACTTTGGATAAGAGGATTTGCCAAATGCATACATGTAAATGCAATGTAAATGTGGTAGATTTGTAAAAAGGATGGTTGCCTTTTTTTGGTGTGTGCTATTTATGTATAAGTCAGCCTTTTAAGAACAAAATAGATATATTTAAACAAAAATGTCCTTGACTCAAAAGGCTTACTTGACCATGTTTACATCCTTTTTACTCAACTTTGAAACTGCAAGCCTTTTATATTTAAACTGATTCAATTCTGTGCTGGTTATGCTGGATCTAAAAATGTTTGTGGTATTATTTATTTATTTAATCTGTAGTCTCTCTTACATGCAGTTATTGGCTAATGTTAAGAGTCATCCATGGACAAAGATTTCTTGGAATTAATTTGGAATTTATGGATGGATGGTTGGATGGGGAACAATGGATGGAAGGATGGATGATATTGAATGGTGAATGAATGTATGGATGAAACATTAAAATGATGGATAGATGGATGAATGGATGGATGACATTAAAACGATGGTGGATTGATGGATGGATGGATGGATGGACGGGACATAGATAGATAGATAGATAGATAGATAGATAGATAGATAGATAGATAGATAGATAGATAGATAGATAGATAGATAGATAGATAGATAGATAGATAGATATAGTCTTCTTATTAACATAATGTTTCACTTATTATGTTTAATATGTTAAAATGAAGACATAATGAATGTAAATGGTGTGCTTTCCCTGTCTTTTATGTGTTTGCAGATGGGACGCCTTACACATGGTGGGTCGGCCGCGGTAACGAGAAGCACTTTTACTGGGGTGGCTCTGTGCCGGGCATTCAGAAATGTGCATGTGGCATTGAGCGCAACTGCACCGACTCCAAATACTACTGCAACTGTGACGCCGACCAGAAGCAGTGGTAAGCCACACATTATCTGATTAGCAATATGCCGTTTCCATGGCGATCATCAAAGCCAGTAGCTAATTATGAGCTTTGGACTAAGTTGCTATTTGCGAGTTACTGACCTTCTCAACCCACCTATCAAACTTATGAGAGACAAGCATGTCATGTTCCCATCTGCCTTATTGTCTCTGTGTATTCATTAAACACCGGTGTCTGCTGCGTGACGCAGTTGTCTCGACCTCAGCGCTTGTGCAAATGGCAAACAGATTGTGCTGATAAAGTAGTTTAAGTAGAGCCAACCCTGATATTTCTATCAACAAAAGCTCAGGCTGGTGTGTTCGGTGGCTTTATTACTAAAGAGAGCTGTGGGCGATATTGCAGAAGAGGGGAACGAGGTCATTCGTCAGACACTCTGATAGAATTGTCTGTAATGCATGTGCTTTGAGACACATTCATTTACATCCTTTCTAATGGGTAGCTGGTAATGCCAGTCAGCTGTTAAAGAGCAGAGAGATAAACAATCCACCTTAACACCACAAACTCCATCTTAGATTTGAAAAGAGAAGAAGAGAGAAAGTCTGCTAGTATTACCATTATCACAGCATTTTCATCTGTGCACAGTTGTTTTTTGAACCAATCAGCTGAGCAGTACAATTTCAGATACAAGTAAACACTGCATCTGCAACATCATAACATTACAACAAAACTGATTGGCTAATGGCACCACAAGAATGCCCAAAGGCATTTTATATACATTTGGTTGCCACTGGAGTCCTCTTCCACTCCATGACGACATCACGGAGCTGGTGGATGTTAGAGACCTTGCGCTCCTCCACCTTCCGTTTGTAGTATATAAATATTAAAAAGTTCTAAAACAAAAACTTAAATGAAAATGGATTAAAGCTATATAGAAATATTATATAGCTATTCTATTATACAGAAGTGATAAAAAAGACAAAACCACATAAAATTAATAAAACTTTCAAATGAAATCTTTAACCACTGTCAAAATAATGTGATAGAACATGTAAATCAAGGTTGATAAGGACCATTTTTAACTCCTTAAAACAAAATAATGACGACAAAATAATATAAATATAATAATTTCACAGATAAATGGATCAACTCGGGGCAAATAGCCTACATTAAAGAGAATTAGGCTACCGAACATGAATAAAATATGCAAGCAGACAGTGTCAAAACGGCAATCAAGAAATTACCGATTCCCTCGAAACAACACATGCATGATTTTCAATGTCAGCAGTCAGAATAATCCAGTTTAAATGCAAAAAGTGCCCAATAAGTGATAGTAAAAAGCAACATAATTAGCAGATATTTCACACTCGTTCATGCACACACCATGACAGTCAACTCAAAACGGTGTCATTCATTGGTACATACTGAATTGTAATCCGACAAAAAAAAAAATAATAATAATAATAATAATGCGCTTACCTTCGTGTTGCTCTATAATTTTACACAGAACTAGAGGAAGCCTCTTGTTAAGTTCATATTGTAGAACATAATACAGAACGTTGCACAGTCAAAACTAATCAAGTCTAGCAGTTTTCAAGGATTTATCAATCTGGACGTTTAAAAGATAAAAGACAGGATCGTAGAAACCGACATATTTAGTTTCGGTTATGAATAATTCAAATGTGCTCTGATTTCGGAGTTGCAGTGATAGAGCCTTCATGTCATCTCACTCCACAATAATTCACGTTTTGAGACTTTTTAACTTATATTTAGTCATTGTGATTACTTGAATATAGTCATACTACATTCAAAATCAGATGCGTTATAACTTATCACGCTAAAAACTTGTCACTCGTGAATCATAACATCTGTCTGCTGAGCCCTCGTGATAAGTGTGCTGTCAACGTTTACATCAGCACCAGCGCCTCTGCAGTGGGAACCCGCCCAATGTGGCAACACTGACACTCTGCAGCAGCACTTCTTCGTAGTCGTCCTCTCATCTGATGCACTATGGATTGAGTCTCTCCACTGATTAAACAAATTGTATTGCTATAATTAAACAGCTAGTCATCAGTGTCAAAGGGCTGCTTTTGAGAGAAAACAAACATTTTGCGTATAAAAAGCTTTAATGACTTCATAAGATCTTGTCAACAAGGAGAGTTAAGATTCTTAAGGTTTAGTACTATGATACAGAAAGAAAGAAAAAATTTCCTCACAATGTATTCTGAATTATATTGTTTGGTAGGAGGGACGATTCTGGGCTTCTGGTTTATAAAGACCACTTACCGGTCAGCCAAGTGGCTGTCGGGGACACAAATCGACCCGGCTCGGAGGCCAAGCTGACCGTGGGACCTCTCTGTTGCTATGGAGACCGTGAGTCTATTTCTTTCTCCTTAAATAATGTCTAGCTTTGCCTCACAAAAATACAGCTTTTGGATTAATAACGAATAACTGCACATAGACAACTAATTATGTGGTTTTAATGTTTTATTAAATTATGTAAACAGTTAAATGTTGTTTGCATATTATTCTGAGTGAGCACTGTTGTTGTTTTTTGTCCTTTGCGATATGTGAAAGCAGCTTTCTTCGTCTGGTATAGTTACTGTGTACAAGGCTATGAATCTTTGATGTCTTCACATGGTAGCCTTGCAATTAAAAATCTTCCACTCTTGAAATATGTTCTTATAATCTGTATTGCCAAAGGATTTGTTTTAATGGCATCTTCTTTAAATAGACATTTAGCATTTTTCAAGGTCAGCCCATTGTCTGCAGCACTCTGAAAGAGGACATAGAACGTAACTGTCCCGAAGCTGTGATCACCAATCAAAGCTTTTCAATCATCATTACATCCCATAGAGGCCCCCTGCCACTCATTTTTTAAAATTGGTGTCAACAGCCAGCTTGCCATATCTTCATAAAAATGATCCGTTTTTTCCCTTTGAGTAATTGTGAGGTAGGGGTTTTTTTTGTTGTTGTTTTGTGAATCAGATGCAATTATAAATGCCCAAGTTTCACCAGAGCGAAACAGAGAACCCAAGGGTAAAATACAGAGCCATCCCCCACCATCATCACCATGTGCAATTATGCATTTTTATGCCTCATTATTCCTGTTAATTGCATCTGGCTTATTACTTAGATCAGGTGCATTCGATTACACTCACCTGTTAGACAAGAGCGTCAACTGCTGTTATTTTCCTCCTTTTTTCCTATTGTTCCCACACACCTGTGACTGGAAGCTATTTGTCCTATTATTCAGTTTTCTTGCAATTTAGGGCATGTAATACTTTGTTTTCATCAGGTTCTTCCAACTACTGGACATATAGACATAGTTGGATATATAAGCCAGTAAAGTGCATGATCAGAGATTGTCAGTACATCTCAAATTTGTCTGCTTAGCCTGAGCAAACTGGAATTATTGAGATCACTTTTGTGCCCTTGATCGAGGCATTTATGCCCAAATGACATCAGGAGAGCAGTGCCGGTAATAAGGGTACTACAAATAATCAGATGAAATTCTCTGCTAAATAACAATTTTCCCTATGTGTTTTATTTCAATTGCACAGTTATCTGTGCTAATCAGCAGCCACAAACTGCACGGAGCCACTTAGAAAATACTGCACCTCCTGTTCTGGAAACATAATCATTGCTCGTCAGGGGGTCCCACGAATCAGGGCTGAGTCTGCTATTATTTATTCATTTCTTCATATATTCAGGGCTTTAGTAGGAAGGGAGCAGAGCAGTAGTGCATTAATGCAGAAAGCCAGCCTCACTATGGTAATGCTGCATATAAATGTTGCTCTTAGCCACCTGCATGTGCACAAGAAGAAAGTTATAGGCCTCTGGACAGTCTGCACCTCACCCATGAGGCCCCTCTGGGCTTGCGTTTATGCTGCACAGCGTATTGGTTGTCTCACCGCTGTTGGGTTTCTGCTCAAGTCTGCAAATGCCTTCTAGCATGGGTCCAGCAATCCCTTAAAGACTTGTTTGTTTTTGCACTCATTATTTATTTACTGCGAAGTCTCAAAATTAGGTAATTGGATGCACAGACTGAATGCCAATGTGTTTAGGAGCCTTAATGTGAAAATAATATGAGAAACCACTGCTGCTTTATAGCAGCCCAGTTCTATTAGGTTCAGAAATCAAACTTGAAATAATTTCAGATATTCTTCCACTAAAAATCTTTGCTTGCTCCTAATGGACTCCTGTATGTGTCCTGTAAGAATACAAACCACATCCACATTTCCCGCAAGCGGGTCTGTAAGATTCATAAGATTCAATAACATTGTTATTTCTGTCAGGACCACTATCAGTACGTCAAAGATGATTGACAATTAGCATACAGTTTGGATTGGCGGTATGGTTCTGTTCTGGGCAAGAACTCCCTGTACAAAAAACATGAACAAACACTGAACGACTGTCTTTTTATTTACTAATATTAACACAGATTAATAAATGTATTGTTCCATGTTCGTTTGTATACTGCGCGCAAGGTTTATGCGCATAGTCCAAGTCTTCTTCTCCGTTTTTAGTGTATCTCTGTAGCAGAATTACAGTGCCACACACTGGTCTGGCATGTATACTACATCGTTTTGATTCGGTTTTGTGGTTTCGTGTGTACGCAGATATTTCTTGAGATGAGGGGAAAAAAAGATTGTATAGGGAAAGCTCTGGCTTCGTGTGGATGTAGCCTCAGAAGGCTGAATCCTGACTGACAGAGGAGGAGCTGGGGATGGAGGAGGGTAATTAGCTATTGAGCAATGCAAAAACTGCTGATAATACTGAGGGACCTTATATATGAATGCTTAGATAATTGTTGTATTCCTATAGGTAGATGGGGATCAGCTGAGAGTCAGCTGATGAGAGCTTGACTAACGTGACCTTCCAGAACTAACACTGCACTTTATGTTTGTAATATTCAGCATTTTCAGAACAAAAATGCAAATATTTTACTACAAAATTCGGAATGGTCCATGCTCATAATGGCTGACATAGGAAAATTGGGCATTGTTTGATTCGGTATGGCACTCAGAATCTAACGAGATCAGTCTTATGGTCAAACTGTTCAGAAATTATATACAAATTAGGGTTGTGACGGTGTCTTTTCCCACCGGTTAATCGACGTGTGACAACACCGGTAATACCGGTATCACTGTGGGGGCAGGGCGGGGGCGTTTCCTCTTTTCCTCGCTTTCCTTCGCTTTTAAATAGCTTATAAAAGCAGCGTGCGCATTTTACTTTCACTTTTGAATTAGCGGCAGTTAGGCGTCAATTGCTTGAATGCAACAACAAAATACAACGTCAAACTCACTTTAGCGTATATATAAAACATAGAACTTTTATTAACAAAACAAATACAAATACACCATAGTGCATAGCTATAGTGCAGGCTATGCCTAATATAAAATAACAAATAACTTACATAAAGTTTAAATAGGTATACAAAACTGGAAATAGGCTAAGTAAACATATATAATATATAACCAAATAAATAAGAAACGTAGGATGTTTATTAGCAAAATGAGTAAGAAAGCTTGGAGGCACACCCAGGGCCGCATTAAGACCGCACTGGGCCCCGGGGCTATGACTCACTGCAGGGGCCCCCATCACAA